CCAGGCAGAAAAGACAGCATATGTGCAGACAGGAAAGAATAAAATAATTTTGCACACAGATAAGAATTTTAAGTAGTTTTTGCTAGTATAATGTAAAGTGAGAGGTAGAAAGTGATAGTGATTAAAATTAGAATGATTATAGGAAAACGGGGAGAGGAAATTTTTTGTATTATTTTGAAAACCTTAGAATGTATGTTACAGAGCTATGAAACCAAGCATTGAGTGATGTGTTCAGGACACACTACTCCAAAATACAGCACTGTAGAATTGCATTTGAGAAATAGCACAAGCATGAAGGTTACTCTCATCTTCCTCCTGCTTTTCTCCCTCAAAGAAGGCCATTAAACTCTCATCGAACAGAGGATTCTGCACAAACAAGCCTTGCTGATTTACTTGTGCATTTTACCATTATATCATACCTTTGTATTTACTTTTTTACTTCTTTAAGTCTATCTACTTCTTCATCAAATCTAGCATGAAAATACATAGGCAAATCTATCTCTGTGGGGCTTAATTTCCTTATAAAAGCTCCTATGTCATGTAAAACATACATATTTTAGGCCTTTATTAATTTGTCTTTTATTCTAGGGACTTCAGCCATAAAACTTAGGAAAGGTACTTCTTCTCCCTTCTAATAAAATGGAAGGTGTATGTCTATTTTAGATATATTATCCAATTGCAGATAAATAGTAGACTTACAGCCATGTAGCATAAATCTGGGGAAAGAGAAATAATTCATTATAACAGTCAAATGTGAGTTGTACCAATGGAGATGGGGGAGGAAGTTTAGAATAGTTAGCACCTTAAATAATCAAGCTTATTAAATGACTGGACATAGTTGGCCAAGAATAGAAGAGTCTAAAATAACTGATTTCTTTTTGGTTGAGGCAGTGAGGAGAGTGGTGGTGTCATTAATTGAAAGAGGAAATGTAATAGGAAAAGCAGGTACAGTTCATGAACTTAATTCGTGCCACGATTCTGGAAAAGATGGCCATATTTGTATTTGTGTGCCATAGTCTTTTTCATCATCTGATGTAGAGTCTGCAAACAAAAACAAAATTTTGTCAAATGTACTGTTGGTGAACCAAATTGTTCAAAAACAAAAATGTTCGTGAACCAGGGTACCGCTGTAAATGGTTTTTAAAAACCATAATGGTGAAGTGATGAGGTTTGGAAATGCTCTTTTGAAATAACTTTGGATTAAACAAGTAGAGATAATCAGAAAGTTGCTAGATTCATAACTTGGATACTCAGGAAAAGAATACAGGTTGTGTTGGACTATTCGAAGTCAATAGTGTGTAGCTAAGAGTAATAACCATTAAAATAGATGAGATCACTTGAAGAGCTGGCATAAAAGAAGACAATAAGCTAATGATGGAACCAAGAAAACATACATTTTTAATGATCTGTATGAAATGGAACAGACAACATCAAATAACATAAAAAATCCTGGGTTGGTGATTAGATAAATCAGAGAAGTCTCTGTTGTGACATGCCTGGCGGAAAAGGAAACAACAACAAGAAAAAAGTATAGCACTGAGGTCTTTAAATTGAGCGGAAATGTTTGTAAAATGAGGATGAGAAACTGATCATTAGGTTTGGCAGTAGGGTGGATCCCAGTATCTTTTGCCAAATATTTCCAAAAGCATGGTAAGGACAACAGACAAACTATTTTGATTAATCAGGTGTGGAAATGTTTAAGAGAAAATGTGGGGCCAGGGATATGGCTCAGTGGTTCCACCGCCTGCCTTGCAAGCACAAGGGCCCAAGTTTGTAATACTTTCTCCCTTTTTCTGTAATACTCTTTATTTCTCACGTTTAGTATTAACTAAAATGTGTCTGTTTTCATGCTTTTCTCCCACTAGTTTATAAGTTTCATAGAAATTTAGATGAAAGCTTTTCATTCCCAGCACTCAATTCATTTTATGGCACAAATTAAGACTTTGTCAAATTAATCATCACTTTATTATCTCAAAGGCATTTTAAATTGATCTAATCTAAACTAACTCTTGGTCTTTATGAAATAGCATATTGATTTTTCCCATATTCAGGAAAGAAAATGGCAGCCTTCCTTAAAAGCTTCTGTGTCCAATTTACCTGTATATGTTCTTTATTTTATACCAAAATATATACTGATAGTATACACCATTTTTTTGTTCAACACTAAGAATCCTTGTCTTTAGTAGTAAGATAACTATTCAATTTGTCTGTTTGCTTCCACCTTCTATCTTTCTCCAAATTATTCACCTTTACAACAACCAGAATGTTATTTTAGAAATATAATTCCGATGAGAGTTTTTTGTATATGTACTGAAGTTCCTGTAATGTTTCCACATTGTAATTAATTAAACACTCAAATTCTGAACTTGTTCTCCTAGGTTATGTATGATTTTGCCTTTGTTACCTTTCTGATCTCTTCTGGGACCATTTTCTTTGCTTTCCCATATACAGTCCTACATGTTTGCTCTTTTCTTGGCTAAAAATACCCACATTCTTAACATTTGCTAGGTATTTCTATATATCATGTAGGTCTCAGGTAACTTTTACTTTTCCAGAGAGATCATTTGTGACTACAATTTGCTAATTTGCTATTTTCATTTTTAAACTCCTGTTCTTTTACTTCATCTTTCTTAACACAACTTTTCAGTGTATGTATTTGTGTTTAATTCTTCTTTATCCCACAATATAGTAAAATATATAAGAACTACTATATAGCAACCAAATGATAACAGAATTTATCTTCTTTTTGTTCAATTTTTATAGCATAAGTTATTATAGTGAAAATAATAGTAAACATATATTAAAGTAATGAAAAAACCCACTACATTTATTTTCAGAAGGATAATTTACTTCTGTAGTACAGATACAATTTTTTTACACATTATCAATCTGCATACAGTTGGGAAAACTATCTGTTATAAATAAGTAGAGATTTTTTATTCTTTTAATTATTTTGTAAATATTACATATTAACAACTATTTAATACATATATTGTATCAGGTCTTATAAATTACATATACAAGAGGCATATATTGATACAATTTTTTATTCTGTATTTTGTAAGATCATGTTTCTAAAAAGGAATATTGTTCTTTCATTAATTCAATATGTGTGTCTTTTGTTATTTCTATTTTATAATAATATAATTAATGTATTATAACAACTATTTATATAGTTTTTACATTATATTAGATTCTGTAAGTTATTTATTGATTTAAATAAAGTATGCAGGAGAATGTGCATAAATTGTATTCAAACATGACACCATTTTATAAAATGGACTTGAGTAAAGGCATATTTTCCTTTTCTGTGTAGGGTCCTGGAACCAATCCCCACAAATATTAAGAGATACTGCATTCACTAACAAGGTTTTTAACCATGTAAGATAGTTAACAGGCAAGGTAGTTTTAGAAGTTAGCAGTATCTATGTTAAAATTAGAAGAAAAAGAATATAAAAGTGATGTCACTAATACTGTTCCTCACTTCCTCCTCAAGAAAAACGATCATAATATATTTATATGGCAGTTTAATTTTGTGTGCATTTACACACACATGTAAAGTAGTTACTCTGTTACATAAAATATATTAAAAGCTTTGTGTTCAGTACTGAGTCAGCTCTGGGGAGACTTGGATGAATGGAAGAGAGCTAAAGAAAGCTTGTTGTTTAATGGCAAAATTAGGACTAAAATGCTATCACAAGGCCCTTAGATATTTTATTTTTTAATTTTTAATTTAATTTAATTTTATCTTTTTTGGTTTTTTGAGACAGGGCCTCATTATGTAGTTGAGGCTGAGCTGGAACTCATTATGTAGCCCAGGCTGGTCTCAAACTCACAGTGATCTTCCTTCCTCAGCCTCCTGAGTGCTTGGATTACAGGTGTGCTCCACCACGCCTGGCTCCTTAGATATTTTATAAATCAGATTTTTAAAGAAAATTTTCTATAACTCCAATTATTAAAAAATCTTAGTGTGACCATGTCTCAAAATGCTTGGGATCACAGGATTTTTATAACCAGGTCTTTGAAGTAAGCTAACAGAAGTGTAATGGATAATCCCTTACCTTATGACTCTGACATTGATGACCTTATGATATTTTATCCTCTAAGATTCTGCTAAAATCCATCTTAACTGTGAAACCATTAGATAGCCTGACATCCTGTATAGTGAGTCCTCTGCCCAGAGTGTTCTTGTGATCCTTACAGGACATTCTTCCTCCTTTCTTGCCTATAAATCTGCATTCTGTTCTTACATTGTAATGATATTTTTAATTTTGTTCTTTTTCATATGCTGCAGGTATCTTTAAGATAAATGGAGCATCTTAATTTGTGTGTCTTTAATTCATTATTAGGCAAAGAGGCGCATGAAATGAGAGCATTGAGGAAAAGATGGGAGGAGTCATATTCTGTTTTTTATTGTAAATATTAAAAATAGCTACTAAATATAGAACAGAGAACACAATGACATGTGGGAACATTCTTTTGGAAAAAAATCCCATAAGGCAGGACAACAAAGTGAGAAATAATAAGGTAAGTCTTGTTCAGTGCCAATATTACTTAAAAATTCTTACCGTTGGAGGCTCCTGTTTCAATTAAGGAAAATCATTAAATAAGGAAAACATTTGTCAAACTTTTACCCACTTAGGTGCTGATTTTGTTTCCCTTGTATATGTTGTGACATTTTATTATTTTCCTAGCTAATACTTTCTCCTCAAATGACATAATAAACTGGGGATCTGATTAGGAAATTCTGGATGTCTTTGGAATGGGCCGAGTGTCTAGTAGACAACCTAGAAATTCTGATCTAATTTGGGAGATGGCATGGAGTAAAAGTATTTTCATAATTACGGCAGGCTTTCGGTAGATTTGTATTCCCTCTGGAATTCTCTGTCACATAAATAAGATGATCAAATATGAGAATGCTTGAAGAAGTGATCTTCTTCTTCTATATCTATCTTTTTAGTTAATTTTAGAAGAATGTGCTGACATTGGGATACATGTACCTGTCAGATCATCAGTGGGCCACGACCCCAGGTGACACGCCTTGCAGGTGTACTCATCAAAGACATATTCATTCTCTTTGCAAGGTGTGCAAGTCCAACAACAGCTGACTTCTCCCTTCCGGATCACCTAAGGAAAATATTTAAAATTTTGATAAATTTTTTTAAAATTTAGCAATTGCATATTGAAATATATTATACTATTTTACAAAGCAGAAGGGACCTTTACATAAATTATTTAAAATGATGTTAGGGCGAAAAAATATTAATACTCTGATAAACTAGGGTGAGTTTAAATAATGAGTCCTATGTAATGATGCTGCTTGGTAGTAAGGCTCAGAATTAGGATAACTATCTTTCAATACTTACAATAAGTATTTTTGTTTGAACTCATGTATACACATGGAGTTGTACAAAAAACTTGAATTTTCATCAACATTGTGTACTTCTCTTTTCCTCAACCTGCCTTGGCTTTCTAACATTAGTAAATAATTGAATATATAGAAATAATTATATATTCCACCTTTAAAAATCTGTCAAAATTCATAAAAATAATTTAGGAATTTCTTTCGGATAAAAAGAATCAAAGCATAAAAGGTTTCTTATAGGAGACATCCCTATAGCAGCTATGAGTGGCACCTGCTTCTTGTTTTCCATAATTTAAGTATATTGTTTTATATCAGGAATCAGACTGAAGTGCTGTGTGACTCAAATGTGCATGTCAGATGTCAGATGGGGCAAGTATAGCTCCTCCCCCAATGACTGCCATGGAAACCTAGGCCTTGATCTGTGAAGTGGCAGGGCTCTGATGAGTTATGTGCACCTGAGGTCAGAATTACCCTAATTAAAATCCTTACTCGTGAATTATGGCTTCTCACTAACCCAATTGCTTGCTAATTGCATCTGGTCCCAGTACCTGTTTGTTTCCTCAAAGTAAGATAAGCAGTAACTATTTCATGAAAAAATAAATTATTTTGATGTGCTATTTCTTCTGCTAGGACAACAGGGAAGGACTAGTTACACACCGATAGCTAAATGCCCTCTCAGTTTTAATTTCATTTTCATCTTCTTCATTGACTGCTTATTTTCTGGAAGCATAGCTAGGTTATATTTTGTCCAAAAGTTGTTTTTCTCTGTCCTCAAATTACCAGGCTACTTTTACTTGCTTTTTTACCATACACTTCTTGAAGTTTAGCTATTTATATCCTGTGCCACCTGACAGGTTCTTTTCTCCTGAAGACCCAGATAAAGTTGATAACTGAATTTTCATGTCTTACTCTCATTCCTCTTCTTTGGATTGCCTTTTCCACTGACCAATATCTTACCTAAGAGTATGCTTGGTTTGTCTCTCTCAACCTATTGCTACTCAATATCTATCTCTTTCTCCTCTTTTATTCTTTAAAAGGAAATATTCTTCAGTTTTCATTCTTAGTCCACATCTTTTATCAAAACTTTCAGGCTGAGTAGTTTTATCTACTCCAACATATTCAACTTGAGCTGTCCCTCCTTTCTAAATGTGAATCTTTCACTTTCTCACTGTTCTAGGCCAGTCCTTCCTGTCAAGCTGTCTCAAGATCACCATACTACCAAATAACCCATTTATTTTTCTCTGAAACATTCCTCATATTTTATTCCTAATAATGTCACTCTGCAGTTACTAGCACTTAGAATTCAATTTATTATGTTGACCTTGTTTCACTTTTTCAACCTGATGTTGGATCATAGCTGACTGATTGGGCCTGCCTATCTAATGTTTCTCCCAAATATATCCCCCCATCCCTTTTGCATTCTCATAATTTGCTTCCTAATTCAAGGCATTTTTTTTCTCCACCATCACAGTGTACTTCAACTTTTCTCTTCCTCATTTGTAATTTTTTATGCTTATGTTCATTAATCTTCATTTGTGTAAAAATCTTGGTTAGAATAACCCTTTGATTCCTGTTTAATAAAAATTAAGTCCAATATATGTAACATGACACTGAAAAATCCCACAAATCTGGCTTCAATCCATCATTTTAACTTTTTCTTTTGTAATACCCAATTAGACTAGCCATTTATGCATCCTGGATTATTTACTGTTGAATAAATGTCTAACTGACCACTACTATACCTTTTCTATTACTTTTCTTTCTATATAAATGATCTGTCTCTGAAATCATAACCATTTATATGATCCAATGTTTGGCATTTTATCCAGAACAAATCTTTCCTTTATATGAATTCACATAATCTATATATATCTGTACCACAATCTATTATATCTGTACCACTGATATTAACCATTATGTTAAGAGACATTCAATAGATATTTGTTAAATTAGTTAGAATTAATGTATTTTCCCAACTCTAAATTATTGATTCTCCCCAAAAGCACTGTTTTTAGAAGCTTGCATATGGATAAAGAATGGGGAAGTTCAAACGTCTCTTTAATTGGTTCAGTCTGCTCAGACCAACTATCAAAACTCTTGTGGGTTGCATACGAGGCCTTATTAAGAATTAATAAGAATAAAGTAAAAAAATAATTTCTGACATTAGAAGTTTACAATGTAAAAAGTAAAACAATTGCCAATTTTTATCAATGAAATTGATATATATTTACAATACATAATAATTGCATTCATTTTGGGGAATTGGTACACACACATATGTACATATCATATCTTGATCATTTGTGATCCCCTTTCTTCTGCTCTAGTTACAAAAAAAAAAGTTAACACTGCTGAATTTACAACAAAAATTAAGGAAAAGCAGACTTCATTTTACCTTTATCTGGCCTTTCTCACATGGTTCACTGCACACAGATCTGATGACATTATTTTTCTTGGACCATACTTCTTCATCATCCATTTTTAATTCTCCATTGTCCCAACTTCCAACATTGATATAATCAAAATAATCTTTTCCCATCTCCTTGAAGTTCATTATTTCATACCTTAGGAACAAGAGTACAACAATAATTCAGCTAAGAATATAGTCATCTATGAAAATGTGGGGGATTTTGCCCCCCCAAAATATATCTACATTCACATAAGCAATACTGGAATTTTCCATAACAGTGCATTTAGGATAAGAAAAAAAAAAACCTGTCTGTTTCATTTTCTCTTCAAAGACCTTTTTCTTTTTACATTCAAGCTTACACCTGAAATAGAAAATAATCCCATGTGAGAATGAGACTTGACCTCAGCAGGATGAAAGACTGTTTTGAAATTTCAAGAAGTTTAAACAAGAACTTGTGAGAAATGATAGGAAAGGTTTTATCTTCATTTGAGTAAAATCATAAAATTTCTTTTTATTAATTTAATGAGAAATTTGGTAAATCTTTTATCTTTTTCTCAGCATTAGGGGATATAGGGGAAGTTTGGGTAGGACCAGATTTTACTTTCCATAATTACCCTTCATCAATGGTTAATTTATATTATAAGATAAATTTCAGGAGTTGTGGTTTAAAAAATCTGAAAATAGTTTCTATCACACCTAGTACAATGTAGAAATAATGGAAGAGAGAAGTGTTTTGTGAGTTCTCAGTCTTTTTTTACCTGTTACTCTTATTTTTGAGTATGTATGGAGAATAACCAGTGTGCTTATTGAAAAGCCCTTTCTTTATATGTAAGAACATTTCCAGAGAAGCACTTCTGAAATAACTGAGAACATTGTAGGATCATTACCACCACTTGTCAGTTCATACAGTTAGGTCAGAGTGATACATGTTTTCACATAGAGCTCTATTTTCTTTACACTCCCCACCCAGTACTTTCAGTACTGACATACAGGCTCATAAATATTTCCTTTAACTTTCTGTGCCCATCATATTTAGCTATCTGGAAATGTGTATGGAAGGAAAATTTTCTTGGTTTTGGGATCTAGTAGTCAGGTAATCATACTCAGTGCAGTACATACTCTATACACAAATTGAAAAAATAAATGGCACCAGTCCATTTAAACTACATTGTAGCATTCTGTTTTTATTCACAATCACATTTTATTTTACTTTAGTGTCTTTTTCAGAATATCAATCCATTTGTTGTCTGATCAGTATCTTAAGAGGTAACCTGCATTTTTTAAATTCTAAATCACTAAAATTTGTTGGTAACTGCTTAAATTCTATTTCTAAATCAATATTTATAGGATATTTTCCTTACATGCTGTCATAGAGATCAGATGGCTGTTGTGCATGCGGTCAGTTGAGATATTGCAACACAGAGCGCTGAAGTAAAAAGAACTCATATATATATATATATATATATATATGTCACTGACTGCTCCACATATATAGGGCTCTGTGTCTTAAAAGGTGACTCTCTGTGAGCAAATAACTTTTGAACATTCTAATCTAAAAGAGAAAGAAATATCAAAGCCAGGAGGCTTTTTTTCTTTACTGGTAATGATTTGAAAAGGTATCAGGGTTTCATTGCTCTCCTGAAAAATGAGCTGTCAGCCTCATTCCTACCCATTCTTAATGGAGACAGTGTAGTCCAACCTGTTAAAGTTACAGATAATGAAACTGAACCTCAGTGAGGATAGTTAATACAACCAGGTTTCAGCGAATGGAAACGTGGGAGCCAGGCCTTAAACTAAGCATCTATCATTCAAATCCATTCTCCTTTCTTTTCCATTTAATTATTTCAGCTTTGTTCAGGACATCCAAGAGATCACCTCTCTGTTGCTTAAATATTGTAAAGAGGTAAATAGCTTTACATTATAAAGTTATCTCTATATTCGTGGCTCTTCAATTTATGTGCAAGAAATGGTAAAAAATAAAGGGATACAGTTTTTTAAAAATGAACATGAAAACTATAGAACTGAAATGTCATATCTACCAGAGAAATAATTTCAAGAAAAGTTAAATCTTCATTTGGCTTAATTCATCAAACTGTTAAAAAGTTAGAGAAAATGAATCCCCCCCTTTGGAATTAACCCCCTTTTCCCCTTGGTAATTATTTCTTAACTAGAAGACAGACACAAAGAGATTGTATCGATAAGATAGTATCAAAGTAAGTATTAATAATATCAATAAGTGCTCTAGTGGGCCAAGAATTTAGCTCAATGGCACTGCAGCTGCCTCGCAAGCACAAGATCGTGAGTTCAATCCCTGGTACCCTACTCAAAAAGCTCTGATTATGAAATTATATGATTACATTTTAGAAACTTCATTAGCAGTGTTTTTATTTATTTATTTATTTATTTTATTGTTGTTTTTTGAGACAGGGTCTCACTATGTAGTTGAGACTGACCTAAAACTCACTATGTAGCCAAGGCTGGTCTTGAACTCACAGCAATCCTCCTGCCTCAGCCTCCTGAGTGCTGGGATTACAGGCATGTGCCACCAGGCCCGGCTAATAGCAGTGTTTTTAAAAAGAAATGGGTAAGAAAAATGTACTATCAAAGGTTCTCCCATTTTCTTGTGGATTATAATATTTTTAAAAACTTTTTATAAATTCTATATAGATTTTATTCTCTAACTAAATAAATTAATGTTTCAAAAATCTTTTAAATTTTAGTTAGGAATTAAAACAGTGGCTTTTTGCAGTATTTACTTATTAATCTAGAAGGTTGTATTTTATTGTCCACTAAAGAGCAGTGTATAATTTGGTGTCCTTTGTTATTATTGACAGGTTTGGTAAAGATCCAAGTCACACATAATCTGTACTAGAAGCAAAGATTAGAGTGATTTTTACTCCAGTCACTGGACAGGAGAGTAAATTCCCTAGCCCAGTTTCTCTTTTTCCCTCATCTCTATCCCTCTCCATTCTCCCACCATTGGTGTCTATATCTCTCTGCTCCTGAGCCTTCTTCCTTATCACAGTGTGTCCTTGCCTAAGATCTCTCTCCTCTTAATATCTTTCTCCTCTTTCTGTGCCTCCATGTCTTCCTTAACTGGTCCATATTTTAAAGCTAAAATAACCTGAATATTTGAAGTGAATTTTATGTATCACCAAAACCCAAAATATATTTCAGCAACAAGTAGTTTAATTAAGGCACTTAATGGAAACTACAAGAAAGCAAGTTCTGTGAACAGAAATAGTACATCTCCTAATGGCATGGATTCTGAAAAATTGAGTGGGTGTCCAAAGATCAAGAGAAAGCTCTTTTCTTGGGGCCGATGATAGGATGCCAGGGGAACTGAATAAGAATTGAATTGTGGGAGAGGACTGTGGGGAAAATACTGCTCTTGCGCTTGTCTGAGTTTATACTTTTAATCTAAGGTCCTTTTCAAAAATTTAAATGTGTAATTCTTAAATATGCACTGAATTGGCAGTGGGCTAACACTGGTTCATGAAACAAAGCAATTGTAGTGGTCTGTGCCTTAGGAGTTAAGTAACTATAGATTGAAGAGAGACCACAAACACAAATAATAAGTTACTTGAAGTATTTTTATGTACCATTCCATGAAGCATTTCAAATGTAATATAAGTAAAATTATTTTTGTAAAAATCTAAGGTAAATTCTTATTTGATGCTTTTCTAACCTAAGTGTTGCTCTAATTAATTTAATATTTTTATTTGCTCCATCTACTTTTCTCTTTCTATTTCTCATTTCCGATCTTCTGAAGTTAATGTTTAAAAATCTCTTTATTAGCATTTAATGATACCTCTTTGTATTAAAATGTTGATGACTGCTTAAGAGATTGCCACGTGTATTCTTATTCTACTAAGTATTGAATTACTTAATGGAAAATTTTAGAAAATTGCTCCTTTATAATTCAAGTCACTTTCCTTTATGTTCTTATTTTGCTTTAAATACTTGTCATTCAGTTTAACATTTGCTTCACATGTTTCCTCTCCCCAGTTACAATTGGTTCTAAGGGGTAGCCAGGCTTCTTAAACCTTATTTTGTGATGAAATCACTAAAAAAAGGAGTCAGCGACCTTAATTTTATTAACATTTTGTTGTTAAAATTTTAGGATTTGAGGTCCTCTGGTACCTTATAAACACTGCTACTGTAGTACAGAAACAGCCATAGTACGTAAGTGTATGTGACTATATTCCTTTTTGTTTTGTTTTGTTTTTTTGTTTTTTTGTTTTGTTTTTTGAGACAGAGTCTCACTGTGTAGTTGAGACTGACCTGGAACTCATTCTGTAGCCCAGGCTGGTTTTGAACTCACAGAGATCCTCGTGCCCTCAGCCTCCTGAGTGCTGAGATTACAGGCATGCGCCACCACGCCTGGCTATGTGACTGTATTCCAAGAACCTTGTTTACAGCAGACTCAGTTTTGTCTGCATATGCTAACTTAGTGACACATGATAAAGATAGTTGGCAGTAAATACTACAGATCTCCATTTCTCATCTGTAGTTCCCAAATCCTAGAATTCTGAAAACTTCAAGACTCTTCATAATTCATTTGGATGTAAAACATGAATCTATCTGAAATTATCTAGTGACAAGACATGACTTCAACTATTACGAGGTAACTTACAATTTCTAACACTTACTGTGAATATTCATATTTTTCTGCAGAGATATTAAATGTGTTAAGGAATACTGCTCCACCAAATGTTGAAAGTATTGTATTACTGTATGAACTAAATCCTACATGTTTTTATGTAAAACATTGTGGGTTGATAGTACTCTAATCAGAAGTGAGTTTTTAAAAAACGATTAAAATGTACTCTCAGGCAGTCTGCAGTTATGTGTCAGAGTGGATTCCCATCTTTGGAAATGTTTGGGATCTTGCTGTTATTACTGGCAATTTTGTGGAATCCCCCATTACCTCAGCCTGCTCTAGTTCCTTGCCCAGCTGGGAATATTTTTGATCCAGTAGAGCAGTAATTGACTCCATAGCAATATTTTGCAGAAAGCATTTCTTTTATACTTTTTGATACTGATTGATTCATTGACATTCTAGTGTATAAGAAGTTGAAACCCAGGAAACTTTGAATCTTAATTATGATTTACTAGACTCTTTGATTGTATCATTTAATCTTTGTAAACCTCAGTTTCCTTAGATTGAAAAAAGAATAATAATATGAAGTTCCTCGGATTAAAAAATATACCATTAATTTGTTTGACTGAGAATACACAATAAATATTATATATACATATATATGTACAATATATGTAGTATATAATATATAATTTATATTTCTATTGCCTAGGCTGCTTATAAACACATAACTTTATATAAGGAAAGATAACTGGATTAGTGGGAGAAACAAAAAGCTGCAAACTACCCTTTCCTGAGTCTGGTCCATGTCCTTAGAGGTCAACTTTATTACATTAATATAATATCTATACTTAGCAGTACATACATAGACTAAAAAACTACATTCCCAGAAATTGTATGCAAAATGTTATGTATATTATCATGAAAGAACATCTAGAATTTTACCAGGGTCTTTAAAAGATTCATGTTCCAAAAAAGTTAAGAACCAGTGGACTAAATGTATCCCCCTCCTAGCATATTTGGATTATGTATGAGGTAGGTGCGTTCTACTGAATCCATTAAGGTTCCCATCGGAATAGAACTGAGCCATCTGAGAAATTTCCTCACTATCAGGTTTGTGGAACTGGCTTGGGCCTTGACATAAAAACTGAAATTGGTGGAACTGCAGTCATCAATCTATTAACACGTTGCAACCTGACATCAGTGCTCGAGATACACACAAATGTAAATCTGTGTATAGCTATCAGAGTTTAAGCCTGAGTTCTGAGTCTGAATACTGAGCTCATGGGTCAACCATCCTTAAGAAGATTTATAACACATTTTAAGTTTCTTTTGAATTTGAGAAAATGCTTGTGTTTTTTTTCCCCAGTGGATACACTGAACATCCAAATAGTAGAAGGCAATATGTGAAAAGTCAACTTATCTTGGCACACAGCCTGACTGGTGCAATACTCTTCAAGTCTCTAGAACAGAAAAAATATCCAGGTTTTAGCTCGGCTGTAATATTGGAACCATTTGTCACATAGCAGTCTAGCATGTGAGATGGCAACAGCTGCATCCAGGACAGTTCCAGCTTACTTCAGAATAAAAAAATGTGCTACACCAAGATTTCTGGCAGAATGTGTGGCCACATGGGGTGTGAGTGGTAGAGGGACTCATGAAAACTCTTGGCAGAGCCAACCAGTACTTCTGCAAGCACAGCTGTTAAGCATACATTGTGCTGGAAGAGCACTTGGAGTTTTGCATCAGATGACCAAAGGACCCCAATTGTTCAAATGCAAAGCAGAGTGAAGACTTACCCTGCTACAAATCCAAATGGAATTTCAGTGACGCTATCATTAATGGATTGAAACAATCCAGTGCAGATTAATGTAAGATTTTGGAGCATTTAGATGTGAATTCTAGTGAGGTTTTGATACCTAGTGATTTCTTTGAAGGCTAACATATAATTATAAGAAAGTTCCATATTTCTCAGGCACTTCTCTATAAATAATGAAAAGTGAAATTTCAGAAAAGGGCAATTTAGTTCTCAGTGAGGGACAGATTGCTCCAGTTGAAGGATAACAAAGTAAAATATGACTTAAAATAGGCTGTAAGTATAGCAAACAATATAAAAGCACCTTGACCTTTTTAGGGATTAAAAGAAATTAATTGTTCCTGTTTCATAGTAGGTTTATGATCCAAGAAGATAACAGAGATTAGGCAATAATATGGTAAACATATTGAGAAATGACAGAGATTGCTTTTATTTATTTATAATAAAGTGAGTTTCCTGGCTCTAAATGTAGGTTTCTGATGTGAAAATTTCAAAAGCACATTTTGGACCTCATCATCAATACTATTTCTTGGTCACAGGGAAAAACATAGTAATTCCTTTGCTCAATATGAGATGTCTGGGCTAACATGGCAAGGAATACTAAATAACTACAAAGAATAGAAGCCGGCACCTCAGGACCAAAAGTTGTTCATTGTTTAAAACCTATTGTGTACAGGAGAACTGTAACAATACCTTCCTGGAGAGTCTCCATTCTCATCAAATAGGATCATATCTCCAGAAACCCCAGTAAAATTGGTTTTCATCAGGGAGTCCAAGAGTTTCCGTCCATCAATTGGCTTCATTGCATCACAGAGTCCTGCGTAGCCTGGGCAGAGGGACATCTGCATATTATGGAGCCCGTAGGCCATGGAATAGATTGCATTGATCACAAATCCCATTTTGGAATCTTGAACATGATGTGTTCTCAGAGTCAGAGAGCCTGTTGGGAAACAAATTAGGGATCAACTTTGAAATTTAATTTTACTGTAATTACTTTCATGGTTCCTGAATAATTAAGGAATGTATTGGAGCAACTTATATGAGTTAGAATCAGAGGCATTATTAAGAAACAGCTGTCAATATTATGCCTAACAATTATCTCCCTTTTTAGACTTTTCTTCCAAAACCTTAGAGAAAGGTCCAAATCTGGTAATTGAACTCTGAGGATAGATGCAGAATGACAGTGTATTTCTGTAGTGCATATTTTGTCTTAAAGATTTATCAATTTCCTAGCTGTGATAATGTACTTTGTGGTTCAGAAATCCTAAACAAATCTCATTTCTAAACTATTAGGTCCTCTTGGCTGAGTAAACTAAATCCTCTACCATCTGGCTTTATAGTACTTATTGGTGATTTATCACCCATCACTTCTAGGCTCAGAGCATATGCTCTCCATAAATTGGCCTATTTGGAAATTATGAAATTTAACATTCAAACACCATTAATTCATTAATTAATTCAATAAACATTTATTGAATTCAGCATTTATATAAAGCTATGTGATTAATCATCTAGGTAAAAACAAAAATGAATTAGAGATGGATTCCCACTAAAATAACTTCTCTTGTATCAGTTCTGTTAGTAATGATCTGACTTATTTTTTATATTCAAAATATAAAGATATGAGATATGCTGTGTAACAATAATAATAGACCTGATTTTTGGTTTGATTTTGCTTTGTATGTGAGGGAGTATGTATTTTGATTCTGTAGTGCCTTTTTTTGGCTGTATTTTCCCTCAAGTGTTATTTCATAGAATTTTCTAACTTTGCTTTTGTGGAAATTTATTCATTAGATTTAATCTCCCTTTCACTTCTCATTTATATTTTTTCCATTCTCTTCATATTTTCCTCTCCTCTCATACTTTCTCCTCTCAACATTTATTCTTATATATAAATATTATCATTAATACCTGATTTTTTGCTAACTTATCCTGCCTTATTATTCTCCCCTTCTATTTCTGGGTTAGTAAAATAGTAGACAGTTTTCAAACAAATTTTCAATCATATAGTGATATATGGTTGGTTCGTTAGATGTTGATATTACTTACAGTATTTTCTCCTTATAGAGGTGCCAGGTATTTTAATAGGTTGACCAATTACTTTCAAATGATACACACACAGCTTAGGGTACATCACAAAGTAAGAGCCACTTACAATAATACACCTCCACAAAATAGTGTTAAGGTTATCCATCTCAAGTGATTTGAAAACCTTAATACAAACACCAAGGATTGTGAGAAAATGTAGCATCTGTCAAAAGTTCAAAACTCACTAGGAAACAATCTCACAGACACTGAAGTGGATTAAATTCTAGACAAGAAAACTTTATTTATTATAATTAGTAATATGATAATCTGGGGTTTTTTGAGACAGGGTTTCACTGAGAAGTTGTAGTAATGCTCCTGCCCAAGTACTAGGATTAGAGACGTGTTTTGCCACACCTTGTTCAGACTCATAATTTTTTAAAGTTTGTAGTTAAAATTTCCAGTAAATATGAAGAATATACAAATGAGCACCTGAATGAATTGATTATTAAAATGGCCCATGAACTCAAAGAAGATGGGCAACTGAGTGAATTAAGGAAGATAATACAGAAGATGAAATAGCACTTTAATTAATATACAGAGGTTACGATAGAGAAATAAATAAAATTCCTAGAAATGAAAACTTAAATTAGTCAAATAAAAAACTCAATTGAAAATTTGAGCAGTCAGCTAGATGAAAGCCAATGAAGAATATCAGGTCCTAAAAACTATGTGTGTGTCCTACAATATTCAAGCAGTATTAAAGCAAAATCATAAATATCTCAAAATATCCTACTTCTAGGTATATTTGTGAAAGAGTTAAAGTCAACATAATACAGTGGCACATGCATACCCGTGTTTACAGCAGCAGAATTCATAATAGGTGAAACTTGGGAGCAGCCTATATGCCCATCAACAGATGAATAGATAAGAAAATACGGTATTTATACACAATCAAGTACTACTGTGTCATAAAGAAAGATAAACTTGAGTCATTTGTAGGAAAATAGAAGAACTTTGGCACCATAATGTTAAGTGAAATAAATCAAAATTACAAGCTGAAATATCACATTGTTTCTCTTATATGAAAAAACTCAAAATATAAATAAATTATAGAACAAAGTAAAAGATAATAGGAAACAGGAAGATAGGTGCTTTGCAAAAGGGAAAGAGACTAAGAGATTGGCAAGAAAGAAGGGATAAAAAAAGAATGAAAGTCTGTCAGGTACATATATCAACTCTCCATGATTAATGTCATCATTATGTACTACAAATATGTACTATTAAATTAAAAAAAAACAAAAAACAAAAAACAACAAAACCAAAAAGAATCAGTGAATACAATATTCAATAGCTCTCTGACAACACTGAAAGACCAAATTTAAAACTCATAGGCCTTAAGGAGGTGCAAGCAATATAGGATAAAGGCATAGAAAAATCATAGAATTAAATAGAAATAATAGCAAAAATTTTCCTCAAGTCTGAATAATGAAGTGGATATCTAGGTACTAGAGGCATTTAGAACCACAAATAGATATGATGAGAAAAGCAGCTTTTTATGACATATCATAGTGAAGTTGCCAACAATTTAGAACAAAGTCAGAATACTAACAGCTGTTAGAAAGATATATCAGGTCAATTATAATAGCCAATCCATCAGAATAATAGTATGTTGCTCAATAGAAACTCTCAAAGACAGGAGATCTGAAATGATGTATTAGAAGCCCTGGGAAAAGAGTCAATATTGTCAATATTTCTATATCTTACAAGGCTATCCTTCAGAGTTGAAGTAGAAAAAGGCATTTCATGATAAGTATAAACAAAAGAATATTGCTTGCAAGGCACAAACTTCATCTACAAAGAAACACATATGCTAAAAGTAAAAAAATAGAAAATAGTAATACATAAAACAGGAGACTAACAACAAACAAAAGTATCTATTCTATCTTCAGACAAATATGACTAAAGCCTAAAAGATGAAAATAAAGTGTTTGTAGATGGGGAGGGGAGGAGGGGGTGAAGGGAGGGCAGGGGTAAGGGGAAAAAATGAGAATCAAGTCTTGTCATGTAGAGGTACAAGATCCCAACAATGAATGTAGCTGTACTGTATCCCTAAAATGTACCAATAAACTCAATTAAAGCGGAAAAAAAAGAGACAAAGGATGTTATTACATCCTGGCAAAGAGAACAATTCAATAAAAGAGATAACAATTGAAAGTATAGATGTACCAAATATTTTGGTACCAAATTTCACAAAACAAAAACTACAGGACACAAAAGATCCCAACAATGAATGTAGCTGTACTGTATCCCTAAAATGTACCAATAAACTCAATTAAAGCGGAAAAAAAAGAGACAAAGGATGTTATTACATCCTGGCAAAGAGAACAATTCAATAAAAGAGATAACAATTGAAAGTATAGATGTACCAAATATTTTGGTACCAAATTTCACAAAACAAAAACTACAGGACACAAAAGTACAGGTATACATTAATTCATCATAATGGGGAATATTTGGTCAATCAGAAAAAATATCAAAAAAGAAATATCAGAATCTAACCAAACTATCAAACAAATTGACTTACTAGATACATATACAGCATTTCATAAATAACAATAGAATATACCTTTTTCTTAGCAACACAAGGATTCTGAAAATTAGATTGTATCTTAGAACTTAAAGCATCCTTGAGTAAATTCAAAGAAAATTGAACAATTCTTTGTATCCTACTGGATCATAGCAGAATAAAACTAGAAATCAATAGAAAAAGAAACCACATAAAACTATACAAACACATGGAAATTAAATGTTACATCATGCAATAGTAATGGTCATAGAAGAATTTAGGCCAAAAATTAAAGACTTACCTAGAATCAAATAGTAATGATAGGATAATATGTCAAAACCTATCCATCAAAATGAAAGTTCAAAGAAGGTTTTTTTTTAGCTATAAATTCCCACATTAAAAATTCAGCAATTCTAAATAACCTAAATTGCATATAAAGGTTCTATAAAGCAGTAACAATTCAAATCCAGAACTTTTAGAAGCAAAGAACTTATAAAGGTCATATAGAAATTAATGAAATTGAGACAAAAAGTAAAAAGGAGCAATAAATCCTTTGAATTGAATGGTAAGACTTATAAAAGTTTAGCCATAAGCTTAACCAAAAGAAGGAAAGGAAAGACTCAGTGCAATTGGAAATGAAAAATTAAAATCAAATCATAACAAAGGACTCTAATGAAATCCAGAGAATTATAGGTAGCTATCTCAAAATTTATTTTCCTACAAATTGGAGAAACCATAAAAAAAATTAAATTCGCTGAATACATGAGAATCATCAAAACTCAACCAAGAAGGTGTAAACCTCTGACTGTAAAAACAAAAGGCAATAAAACAGTAATAAAAATCCTGTCGACTAAAAAAAAAATCCAATATTCCTAAAACTTTTTCATGAAATTGAAAGGGAAAGAATACAGCCACACTAATTCCTGGAAGCCAGCATTAACTTGATACCAAAATAAGGTAAGGATGATATATATGGTGGGGCAGACAAACAGACAAGGGCAGACAGACAGACACACACATACACACACACACACACACACACACACACACACACACACAGGAAGGGAGAGAGAGAGAAAAAAATACAGCTAGTTTCCTTAAAGAACATAGGTGCAAAAGTGCTCAATAAGACACTTGAAAACGAATGTTAAAATCATTAAAAAGACCACATATCATGACTGAGTTAACTACTTCCTAAGGATGCAATTCTAGTTCAACCTACATAAATTAATAAATGTGATACACCACATAAAAAGAAGTAAGGATAAAAATCATACGATTATAATTACAGATGCAGAAAAAGCCTTTGACTAAATTTAGCATCCAATCATAATATAAATTCTGAC